AACAGTAAAACTGCCAGGATGTGATTAACTAAAATTGCCTCATTAAATGCTCTCAACTACCTGACAGACTTTCCTGGGGGTCCACCAGCTAGAAGGCCCTTTTCCCTGTCGCCATCCTCCAGCTTCCCCTGAAGAGGACCTCAGAGGCTAACAGTAGCATGGAGGGTAGGTTCATGCAGGGGGGCAGCTCCAAGTGATGTAGGGCTGTGTAGGTCACAACTGCTGTCATGAGCTGGGATCAGAAATATACATGTAGCCGGTTCCGCTGGGACAGAACTGGCATTATATGCTCAGTCTTTGTGGCCCCCACCATCCATCGGGCTACCCTACTTTGAACAACCTGCACCTGCAGACTGTCTTCTAGGGCAGCTCCATGCAGAGTGCATTGCAGGAATCTAACTTGCATGTAATCAGAGCAACACCACAAGTGGCCTCAGAACAACATGGTTTGGTGGTGTCCAACTGCGTGAAAGGGTTAATGAGCTCCACCTTGTTTGGTCTTTGGGAGAGAAGGTTTGGCTTAAAAGGGATTTGACTTATGCTGTTTCTAGGTTACAAACTGTAAATCCCAATCAGTATGAAAGCTGGTTTTGTTCTAGTGTTGGTGGCCTGTTTTTTGTTTTTGTTTTTAAAGGAAAATGAAATGCAAAGCAGGGCCATGACTAGGACTCTTACTTTTTTAAGAGGCCAGTATAGCATGATCGCCACAAGAACTTGTTGGATTCTTGACATTAACAGCTAACTGAAAAGGAGAGGTTAAAAAAAATTGCCATGCTGGTGCCTTCCAGATATACTGGCTATCCAATATTTTGTAGTCCAAAATATCTGTCCAAATAGCCATGATATTGAGCAAGAATTTGTTCTATGGTTTCTCTGTACCACCGTGGCCTCTTGTCTGGGTTAACTGAACCCATTTTCCATGTTTCTAGTATGCAACAGCCCCAGAGTCCTCTGGAAATAGTGGCACTCCAGCCATCTAACCTCTATTTGCAGGCCCATGAGAAAAGAAGCAGGCATCATAGGCAGGGACTGATGCACCTCAGAACTGAATTTCAGGCATAATGGCTGTGTCAGAGTCCAAAACATGGCAGCAGCTTAAACTTATGAACACCAGGACTCACACACCTTAGTCCACAGTATTAATTAGTGTTCGATCGAACTCCAAGCTGACAGTAGGTAAGCACAAACCAGGAGTCAAGACCCAGAAAGTCCACACAAGGAGGAGGTACCTTAGGAGAAGGCACAAGGTCGAGGAACAGGCATGTGTCCAGGGTGCACAGTCAAGGATCTGCATAGCACTAGGAAACACCACAACAAGTCAAGGGCCCTTCACTGTTGAGACAGCTTCTGGAGGGAAGAACCAGTTTTTATATAGCTCTTCCCTCAGAGCTTCCAGGTGGTGCTCATAAGGGCCCTGGTAGCTGCAGTAGGCTGTGGGTCTAATTCTTCAACTTCCAAGTTTGTTATTCTGGCCTTTGGCCAGAAGATGGAGCCATGAAGCTGCCTCAAATCCTGACAGGCTGGTGGAATACATTACAACCATGGGAAGACTCAGTGGGGAGGATGGAAACCATGGTAATATAGAAATCAGTTGATTGTCTGTCAAGTAGGCCATGGTAAAAACGCAAACCACGGTAATCATGTAGGGCTGCTTCTCATGTTGTGTAAGCTCAGCCAGTGTGATAGCAAGGTTGATATCTGGGGGAGTGGGTTGCATTTGGCTCAGGTAACCCACAAACTGCACTCCAGTTCTATGATTTCAGTCATGAAATAAAAGAGAGGAATCCATTTAGATCCTCTCTAAAAGGGTGCTGAGGGCAAGAAGCAAAATATCTAAGCTTTTGCTTTAGACATTTGATCTGTACAATTTTCACCTGAATTGTAATTTGGTTTTCTGGCAAGCTGGACATGGAAAAAGATTGACCCCCTCCACACACACACACTCAGCTGGAAATTATGACACCCCAGTGATTCATTGTGAATTGAGAACTGAACATAACATGTGCCTGGAAAACAGCACCACCATGCTTCATCTACAGAAGGGCTCAGGTTCAGCCTCTTCATTCTTAATGAAATGGGAGCTTCTGTTGCAGGGCTGGGAAAGGTCCTTCCATCTAAGACTTTGGAGATCCTCTGATAAAGAGAACAGGCAGTAGTGAGTAAATTGACCAGTGATTGCCAGTTTCACATGCTTATGCTCTGTAAAATTGTTCAGGAACCTTATGTTCATATCATGCCGATGCTTCATAATCCCCAGTGAACTCTAGTCCCTTTCTGGGCTTAATGCAAAGTGCTGCATTTAACCTTTAAAGCCCTAAATGACTTGAGGATAGGCTGCATGAAGGATTGCCTCCTTCCACACATACCTGAGATCATTATCTCTGGTCCTTCTGTAGGTGCGCTCGCTGAGTTAGGTGCAATGGAAGGTTATTGGGGAAAGAGCCTTTTCAGTGGTGGCTCCCCATTAGTGGAATACCCTCTTAGTGAGGCTTACCTGGTGCCTACATTGTATTCTTTTTGGTATCAGATGAAGACCTTTTTGTTTTCACAGGCTTAAAAATGATTTGGGTAAATAAAAGGTTTTGTTGTTCTTTTTTCGAAACTATCAAGGTTTGCTTTAGCATCTTTGTTGTACTGTGTTGTTGACTGTATTGATTTTATTACTTGTAGCTGTTTATATGGTGTATTTTCTCTTGGATGATTGATGATGATGATGATGATATCCTGTCTTTTTTCCTCTTGTGAGGAACCCAAGGTAGCTTAAAAAGTTTTTCTCCTCTCCATTTTATCCTCACAGCAAATCTGTCAGGTAGGCTAGGCTGGGAGTTGCCCAGAGTCAGAGAGCTTTCATGGCCAAGTAGGGACTAGAATCTGGATCTTCCAAGTCCCCAGCCCTTTTCTTTAACCATTACACTGCACTGATATAGTATTTGGTTATTATAAAGCATTATAATATACTGTAGTATTTGTTTGTCATGAGCCACTTAGAGAACTGCATGGCTTAGAAATGGTGATAGAGAGGTGAAAGTTGAGCACCTTATCTGAAGGATTTTTGCCTCGCTTCTGGGTAGCCAAAGCCATAAGGGAGAGGGTCCTGGAGCTGACTCTCAGTTTGCATGGGAAAGTGATGTTAGTTGATAGGCTTGTGACCGGTAAAGTAAGTGCTCCCAAATCATCGGGTTTGCATCAGATGCACTAAGTCTCCTTGGCAGTCTAGCTCACGTGGAAGGAGTTCCCTGGAGGAAAAGAAAATGTGAAAGCTGCTTTCCTTAGATGAAAAATTAATAAGGAAGCTACCCCTCTATCTGATTTTGGATTATGTAATAACTCTGCTCCCACTGGCAATGTTATTTCATGGAATGTATGACTTGTCTATGGTAAAAAAGAAATTCCTGCTAGTAGTTAAGGAAGCAATCCCAAGCCAACAGTGTGCAGGTCTTGGAAGGTGGTGTCTTCCGAGCTTGTTGGTAGTGGCAGGAAGGCTATACTGATGACCAAGAGGGAGGTCTGCTGGCACGCTGTCGGGAACTGGGGTTCCTCCTTTGCGCATTCAAAATCCACAGACCTTTTTCCTTGCAAAGCATTCTTTATTGACCAAAAACATGAAACACCCAAAATGCATCTCTGAGCATGCACAGAGCAGTTTGTTGATCCCAATCTAGTATTCACCTCCAGGAACTCTCCCTATGAGCATGCCTGGGCCCCATCCCCTTGGGAGGGATCTTCTGAAAATGAGCACAACTCCTCTCTGCACCCCACTCCCCTACTTGGGCTGCCCTCCTCTGCTGACCCTGCATCATGTGCTCAAGAGCAGGGGCCACGTTGTCTGTGCCTAAGAAACGGCCCTGTGCCAAGTCCCCTCCCACCAACCATGCATCCTGGCCATTCCCAGAGGCTGCCTGCCCACCTGGGGAGTCTGGCCTTGAGATAAGTGCCTCTGCCTCCCTCATCTTGGTGTCTCAGGATGGCTCACATTCCCAGCCCTCCATTCTCCTTTTGATTCCTCTGAAGCCCCCCTAGCAGCCCTTGATGATGAGCGTTCCACACAGCCATCTTTCTCACCCCCAGCACTGGTTGTCCCCTCACCACCCCTGCAGCAAACTCTACTGGCAGGGCCACGTCTGTGCTGGTGGGGAGAGAAGCCACAGCTCTGCAGAGTCCTATGGCTGTTTGTTCCCCTGATAGGCCCAATACAAGGGCAGTGAAATGTACCAGTGAGTTTGGTGTAATCAGAGTTAATGGAATGGAGAAGAGAAATGTACAGGACAGCAGGGTAGAAAAGAAGGAAAAGCCGCTCTTCCTTGCCACAGCTACTGCACAGGATTTTGGATGGGATGGTTGTTCCCAACAGGAGGAGAATGATGTAAGCCACTATGCGTTATTTAAAAGAAAAAAGCAGGATATAAATATAATAAACAGATAAATAGCAAAAGATTTAGCAGGGAATCCGATTTATTAATTAATGAGAAACGCTGCAGTCACTTGTTGCTGCAATTGCCCATTTTACTTAGTGATCGTGCTACATCGCGGCATGTGTTTTGTTCTTCAACATGATTATCGATACACGTAGAAAGCACACTGCAGAACAGTCTTCCTGTGGCTGTGAGGCACGTAGAATAAGCAAGAGTCTTTTTATCCAGGATATTAATTGGGGACCTCCTCTCGCTTTTGGTTATATCGTTAGCTGTCACTTCTCCATGCAGTGGAGCACTGAGCTCAATGGCATAAAATAGTTTGGCAAAAGTGGCTGAAGTGACTCTTGCCATCTGACGCTGTGGGGTGAGGATTTATCAGGGACAGGGACAAAGCCCCCACCCATGAGCTCTGCAATGGAGCTGCTTTCCTGCTTGGTTGCATCGTCCCATATCCTCCAAGCCCAAGGTTCCAAGCCTGGCCTGGGCCCACCACTGGTTTCCCCAAAGCTCTGCTTCTGGCTCAGGCCAACCTGGCTGCATGTCACAGTGATTGCTCAGGCTTACTGTATCTTGCTGTTTTGCTAGGTGGTGTATTTTACTGCCACGTTTCCATACCTCATGCTGGTAGTTCTACTGATCCGGGGAGTCTCCTTGCCTGGGGCATCGAAAGGGATCCTTTTCTACCTTTACCCAGACCTCACTCGACTCAGCGATCCCCAGGTAAGTTAAACCCTGAAAAGAAGAGGCTTGTTTATGTGTGTCTATCAACATGGTGTGCCTTTCTCCTCACTATCCTGTTTCCTTTTATTCTCTTCTTTGGTCACCTTTTAACCCTTCTTTGCAGCCTGATGATTTGCCTTCCATTTCCTCCTCCTCTTAGCCTTTAAATCAGGGCAGTGGAGACTTTTGTGCAGTGTAAACAAATGCAGCACAGAGCAGGCAGAGCAAAAATTTCAACAAAGAGGAAGCAAGCAAGCAAGCAAGCAAGCAAGCGAGTGAGTTGTTAGTGCAGGTAGTGATCTTTGGTGTGGAAACTTGACTAGGAATAGCAGTGTGGTGAAGGTTTCCTTGGGCTGAAGTGCAGGGCCCATTGTAAAGCCTCCTTCCCCGGACGATCACCCCAAAGACAGTAAGTGATGAGAGCTGTGGCAGATAGGCCTCCTGTCAGCACCTAGGCTGGCACTGGCCCACTGGGGGACACTCGGGTTGACAGTGCTTGCTGAAGCAACCTTTCATCTGATTTATTTTTGTCACATGGTTTGAGGGCGGTCAGCCAGGCATATGCCTGGCTATAGATGCTCATTTTATAGGTTGTTCCTGAGAATGTTACACCAAAATGGTGCTTGTTTCTAAGGAGCTGTGCTTGGCATGAGGGCATCAGAAGCAACTCTGTTTTATCCCATAACATCATGGTGGCACTGGATTTGCATTTAAAACATGACACCACACTCGTATGTTCTGAATATTCCTCTTTCCTGGTAAACAATATTTTTCTTTTGTTTTGCTTTTTCCACTGATATATAAGAATATATCCGAGAGAAAGAGAATGAGAAAGAGAGAAAAGATACGATATTTAAGTGGGGAGTGAGAAGCTTTCAGAATTCATCCTTCTAGCATCCATGGACTTCCTCCTGTGCTCAGCCCAGTCCAGCCCGAGAGGAAATCCATGAAAGCTCACAGAGCCCCTGTTGCCCACCTAATCAGGTGCAGCTGCCCAAAGAGTGGCCACAGGATGGGGAAGAGGAGCACCACTAGCAGCCATGCCAGGCACCATTCCTGGTGACCAACCTTCTTCCCTGCCTATGGCAGAGTTGGGCACAGAAGAGGGGTGCTGCTACCAGCCATCCCAGCAACCAACCTGCTTCTCAGCCTGGTGCAGCCAATGGACAGCACATGGGGCTTGATGCCTGGTGGGTGTCCTGGGAATGCTGGTGGCACTCACCAGGAATGCAGGCTCGAGGTCGCTTGAGAGCCGCCGTGAGTTTGGGGATCTGAGCCCATGGAATCCATCAGATTCCCATCCCCAGATGGTTCCCTTGGAGTCAGCCTCTCCCAGCTCTGCCTGCCAGGGTTCTCTGTCCAGTAGCAGGCAAGACCTGGGGACAGGGAGGAGGGGCACTGTTTGCAAGCCAGTGCCCACCCCTGTCCAGGTTCCTCTCGCACAAGCGGCAGGATGCAAGTGTGTGTATTTGAGGGTGGATTCCTGGGACAGAGCAGGGCTTCACTTGGTGTACCACCCACCCCGCCACACAACAGTATCCCTTCCTGAGCAAGCTGAGACCTCCCAGCACCAAGGTGGAGCACTTTTCCAGCCTCAGAGCTGGGAATCCAAAGGAATCTTACTGATGTTGAAACTATAATTAAACATCAAAAAGACTGGATTGCTCTGTCCAGCACTACTAGCTACTGTGCATCTTAGCCATGGGCATGGGACCATTTGCTGTTCAAAACAGATCTTGGACTGACTTGTCTCCTGACATCTCTGAGTTTGGAGGAGGGAAATTCTTTTCTGGCCAAAGGGTGTAACTTCCCAGTGAGGACGGAGTTCTGGAATCTCTCCCTTGGTGTGCATTAGAAATGACTCAGAGCACTTCCACAGGGTGGCCTTCCTCAACCTGATAAGGCCCAGATGTTTTGGACTGTAATCCACATCAGTCCTTGCCAGCCTGGCTGATGGTCAGGAATGCTGCAGCTGCAGTCTGAAACATCTGGAGGGCACCATGTGGGGAGGTCTGCTGCAGGCAGCATGCCTGTGATGACTAAGTGTAAGCCTCGTGGACACCAGAGTAGTGATTGTGAATACATAGCTAGCCTTCACCCTTCAGTGTGTACCTGATCTCTACTTATTGTTATTCTCTTGATCTTCATTTAAATATGTTCTGATCCTATCAAATATACTTACAGCATCTTACAGTCTAAAGTAAAAACAAGTTGCAGTTCTGCCAGTGAAAACATCTGCAACAGCAGCATCAATACCAGCAATTGTGATCTCTGTGGCTGGTCAAAAGGTGTTCATAGTTGCTAATGATAGCTGGCCCCGGGGAGGGGGGGGGTGCATGGCTAGAATACCCATTTAGGGCTGAAGACATGTAGGTTCAAATCCCCTCTTGGTCAGTCTTTGGGCAAGTCACCATCTCTTAGCTTGATCTACCTTACAGGGCTCTTGTGCAGATTCAGTGAGGAAAGGAACTGTATATGCCACCCTGAGCTCTTTGAAAGAAGGACAGGAGGGTGATAAATCAGTGATAAATTCATGGGAACTGTATCCCGTTTTCTGGTCTGCAACTCATGGAAGTCAGTTGGGTGCACTGAGGAGTCTGAACTTGTTGCTGCAATTGTGACATACAGTGAACTTTGTACATAGTATGCATAGATCCATTTTGTGGCGGTCTGGTGACATTTTCACTGCTAACTTTAACAGTGTTGCTTGTAGCCTCCTATATGCTTTTCATAACCATGAATAAGCAACTGTTCTCAATGCACAGAGTGGTCATGGGGTCACAGCACAGAGTTAAACAGATCTGGGCAATCTGCTCTGAGGTACTGACTGTAGTTTGGCCTCCAGAGCTGCTGCACTTTCCCCCATGCTATACTCCTCTGCTCTTTGGTCACACACTCACTCTAGTCTGCCTCGCTGAAGCTTCCCCTGCCAAACTACTGCTTTTAATCTTTTCAAATCCTTGCTCAGGCTGAGCTTCCGTACTAGCACTTCACATGGAGAAGGTGGCTCCAAAGGAGATTAAAGGGGAGCCTGCCTTCAGGGAAAAATATAGGTCAATGAAACCTTTTGTAACCCTTTTAACTCTGCTTAGGCCAGCCTTGAATCTGGTGAATTTTTGCTGAAATAAGTGAAGAAGGGACAACTCCCACCATACTGGCTGTGGATGGTGGGAGTTGTAATTCCATGTATTTCGAGGGCACCAGATTGGGAATGGCTGGCATAGCTTTTATCTGGCCTGCCCTTCCAATGACTGAATGCCTGTGCAAGAAGCAGCTCTTTTAATAGGTATGGGAATCCCAGCCTTTTCTCTGCTGCAAAAGTGCGGAGCTGGGGAAATCGGCAGGGCAGAATTGCTCTCGCTGTGTGTGGGCTGAACCCTTTCCATCACCAGTGGTGCTTCTCTTGTACAATGTGCACTTCCACCTGCTTTCTCCCTGGTCAAGATTCTCAAATGTGGATTTGTTGTGTCTGGTGAGGGGAGCTGTTGCAGGAAAAGAAAGAAAAAGGAGGATTATGCAGCTCCAGTGAGCAGTGTAGTGGCAAATTTAGAAGTGGGGGGTCCCCTTACGATAGCGCCATACCACAAAGCCACACCTATTTCTAAGATTATGCAACAAAAATCAGCATTGTCACTTTGTTTGAATTTCTATTGAGTAATGAATACAAGATGAGGGTATCTCTTTTTGAGGTGAAACAATGACAGCTTCTAGAAGTTATTTCTTATTATCTTATTTATTAAGAATGAATGGGTTTTTAAAATTACATTCATATGCTGCTCTCCAGAAAAAAAGCTCTCAGGGTGGCTTATGTGGAATTAATAAGGCAGTTCCTGCCCACAGGCTTACTCTTTAAAAACATAACATGCAAGGGGAAAGGGAAAGGGAGGGAAGAGGAAAAAGGAAACTCAGACTCCAATTACCCACACTTACAGATACATAGGTAGTTATATTCTCTCAAGAGCAGCAGTCTGAATTGACAGTCACTGGTTTCTTTTAATTTTCTGTGACTTTTGCAACCACTGACTTTGTATGTGCATATGTGTGGGAGATCTGAGTCCAGACAGAATCCATGGTTTAGGGATTCCAGTTTCTCAAAATATCCAATAATCTTTTATTGTGCTCTCACTTGGATCCATGCTGAATCATGTGTAAAGTAGCTTAACTGAAGTAAGAGGAACTTGAGGCTATCAGAAGTCATGGCTAATTTTCCCCATTGATTCCAGTGAACATACTTCAGTTACTATACTTTTATTCCACTTTAGACATTATTTCTCCAAAATAATTCTGGGGCTAAGAGTTGCTAGAAAACACCCATTTGCCTCACAGAGAGCTACAATTCCCAAAATCGTTTATCAGTCCATCTCTTTTCCCCAGGAATGCTGAAAACTGTACCTCTCTGTGTGAGGAATAGGTGCAGTGATGAAACTCAGCACCCTTGACAAACTACAATCCCCAAGATTCCATGGGGAAGTAATGACTGTCTAAAGAGGAATAAAAGTGTTCCAAATGTGTTGTGTAAATGCAACGGGGATGGGAGGTTGTTTTTGGAGCAGCCAAGCTAACCACGTGTTGCTGAGGAGCAGAGGCTGACCATGAAGGAAAGCATCATAGAAAATATGTATGAAAGCCCAGCAGGCCTCTCTAGAGAGGTAGTTCCCAGGAATTGTTCGAAACTGGCAAAGAAACACCCCTGTTCTTTAATCCATTAAATTCAGTACTCTGACACAGTGGCAGCTGCCAGACATGGGCCAGCAAAGTTGTCTCTTGAGAGGTGGTGGGGGAGGGACAGTGACCATGGCTTCAGGGATTCCTGAGGGTCCCCTCCATTACACCTTGTCCCTGACAGATTACCACTCTCACACATATGTCTTTCCAGTGGAGCACTGGAAGAGACACTTCCCAGATTCAACCATGAGGAGATTCTTAGAATAGTAGGGTTAAAAGGGGCCAAGAAGGTCATCGTGTCTAAGCCCCTGCTGGTACAGGATGCCAAGTTAAAC